TTTTTTATTTACCTCTCCTCTGCACGCAGCCGTTCCTCGACATCCTGGATTTTGCTCTCCAGCTGAGACACACCAGTAGAGGAACGTGACTGGCCCTCCATCTCAGCTACACGAGATTTATAATCCTTTATCTGAAAGAGATGCAGATCAGATGAAACCTGGTGGCCAATCTGAAGGAATATATTGTGCAGTAAAAAAAGAAACACTTTTATCATTTTTGTTATCACAGAAACTCAGGCAAAGATGAATGCAGCATACACTAGGACTATAGATCTGTCGTACTGTTCAATAGTCATGTGGCATACCTGTCTCTCCAGAGCGTTTTTGTCCAGCTCCAGGTCTTGTTTGGAGGATCGTTCTTGCATGAGCTCTGCACGCAGCTGTTCAATCTAGAATTACCACCACATTTTGATTATTAGAATTATGGTCACTACATTACAAAAATATAATAACATTATTTGGCAATATTCAAATATTACCATTACAGCCCTAAATGATAATTCTTGTCAACATTTAACATCTCGCCAAAAATTAGTTAATAAATATGTATAGAATTATATATAATTTAAGCCCTTTGCTACTATACCAGCTAGCCATATTATGGTACATATATTTTCATATTTCTTTCTGTATCTTTATTCTTATTTTATTATTAATATTTTATTTAATTGCATTTAGTAAACAAAGACAGCATTACAGCTGTGTATACACTACTTTTCAGAAGTTTGAGGTAAGTAAGATTTTTTTGGTAACACTTTAGATCAGGGAACACATTTTCACTATTAACTAAGAGTTTTCCCTCAATAAACTCCTAATTTGCTGCTTATTGATAGTAAGTAAGGCAGTTTTTGTAGCAGTTATCTTTAAGTATTGGGATGTAGGGGATCTAAAATGTGGTCATGCAGAATAAGGCATTGATATGTGCTTTATAAGTACTAATGAACAGCCAATATGTTAATAGTGAATAGTGTTCCCTAATCTGCAGTTTTATTGATTAATATTTTTTTGATATTGATTAATATTGACTGATATTTTTTTAAAGACTATTTTTATTCAGCATTCAATTGACCAAAAGTGACAGTAAAGAAATTTTTACAGGACTTCAAATAAATACCATTCTTGTGAACGTTGTATTCCTCAAAAAAAAAAAAAAAAAACTTGAAAATAGTCAAACATTTAAAAAAACAAACAAAAAAAACAAAACAAGCAGCACGTCTGCTTTTAACATTTATATTAATAATGAGAAGAAATGTTTCTTGGGCACTAAATCAGCATATTAGAATAATTATTGAAGGATCATGTGACACTGAAGACTGGAGTAATAACTGCTGAAAATTCAGCTTTGCCATCACAGGAATAAGTGACATATTTTAATTAATAATTAAAAAAATCTTACCAACCCCAAACTTTTGAATGGCAGCGTACCTGATCTCGACTCCTGGTGATTCTTTCTGTCAGCATCTCTGCATTGTTCTTTTCCTCGTCTAACTCAAGCTCCAGGTGCTTGATTTTGTCCTGCAGGTGGAGACATAGAGTGAAGACAGAGTGTTACCACATCATCACTATCTCCATTACACCATTTCACTAAAACACCAGATGTGAAGGTGAAACACACCTCCAAGCTGCGGATCTCTCGCGAGCGGTCGTTTTGTGTGGTACGCTGTGTCTCGATCTCACTCTCCATATGTTTGAGGCGGTTGGTGAGCATCTCTTTATCTAATAAAGCATTGTCTCGATCCTCATAACTTGAGAACAGCTCTTTCTTTTGACGGGCCAACTAAAAACAAGCAAAATTGAATGACCACAAATTGAAGACGGATTAAAAATGTTTGGATTTTTATGAGGCCAGCGTTGCACCTCTTCCTGTAGGGAATGAATGGTGCTCTGTGCTCTCTCCAGCTCACTAAGCTTCTCTTTGGTGTTTTTATGTAAGTCCTGCTGCTCTTTCCTCCACTTCTCTTTCTGTTCGTCCAGCTGAGCCTGCAGGAGCCGCACCTCCTCACGGGATGCTGCAGACAAGCGCTCCATCTGACATGGAGAAACAGAGGAAAAGGGGTGTGAGGAAGCAAGAGAGAGATAAGGACAGACAGAAAGTAAAATGATGCATGGCGGATTCAAATTTGTGTCAATGAACACATACCTCTTTATTGAGTTTGTCTAGTGCTCTCTCCTGCAGCCTCTTTTGGTCCTCGAGCTGTGTGTACTCCTTGCGGACAGCGTCTCTGTCCTTCTCCTTCTCTTTAAGATTACGAGCCAGCTCATCCCGCTCTACACCCAGTCTGGAGTTCTCACGCCTGGACTCCTCCAGCTGCTGTCTCAGTTTCCTGGTCTCCTCCTGCTGCTCCTGTTCAGCCTCAATACTCTGAGACGTGCGCTCCTGCAGCTGAGACTACAGACACACAGATAATGCGTCAGAGAAAAAGAGAGAACAAACAGATAACTGTCTGTTTTTGAAGAAAACATTCCAGGATTTTTCTCCATATACTGGACTTCAATGGGAGCCAATGGGTTGAGGGTCCAAATTGCAGTTTCAATGCAGCTTCAAAGGGCTCTACACGATCCCACCTCAGGAATAAAGGTCATATCTAGTGAAACTATCGGTCATTTTCTAAAAAAAAAAATTATTTACATACTGTTTAACAAATGCTCGTTTTACACTAGCTCTGCAATGCACATGCGTGACTTCACGCATTACATAATAACGTTGGAAAGGTCACAAATGGTTAGTTCTTTGCCTGAGTACTTCAGTTCAAAAAGGTAGGGAAGCACGAAAAACTTCATCTCATTTTCTCCTCCAACCTCGAAATTGGCCGACACCGTTGTTTTACCTTTTTTTGTAAAGGGCGTTTGACTTTCTTTGCACGTTTGCTTTGTAAACACTGGGTCGGTACTTCCGCCTACGTCATGCATGACCTTTCCAACGAGACTACATAATGCATGAATTTGAGCTAGTGCAAGACAAGCATTTGTGGTTAAAAAAATATATATATATATATTTTTTTTTTTAGGAAAATGACCAATCATTTCACTAGATAAGACCCTTATTCCTCGGCTGGGATCATGTAGAGCCCTTTGAAGCTGCATTTTGGACCTTCAACCCATTGGGTCCCATTGAAGTCCACTATATGGAGAAAAATCCTGGAATGTTTTCCTCAAAAACCTTAATTTCTTT